TTTTTTTTTTTTTTTTTTTTTTTTTTTTTTTTTTTTTTTTTTTTTTTTTTTTTTTTTTTTTTTTTTTTTTTTTTTTTTTTTTTTTTTTTTTTTTCAAAGTAGTACTGATTTGGTTTAAATGTCCCATCCCTGGACGTGTTCAGGACCAGGTGGGATTGGGCTTTGAGCAACCTGGTCTAGTGGAAGGTGTCCTTGCACATGTCTGGGAGCTGGAGTAGATTATAGCCCCTTCCAATCCAAACCATTCTGTGATTCTTTGATTCCAAAACTCTTCTACTAATTCTATTCCTAGCATACAGGTGCAGAAGTGCAAAGTTCACTTAAATTTATTATGTTTACACAGTGCCAACAGTTCAGACAAATGAGGCTTTATACAACTCAAACCCTTAATTAAACCACACCTTTAATTAAATCACTGCCCCTCTGTGCTCGGTCAAGCCCATTATCCCATTTCTACAATAATGTATCTTTAAAAAGTATGTTTTAACATGTCATTCTAACACCTCTGAAAGAGTAACTTGGAAAAGCAGAACTTGATTTCTTAATAAGACAGAAAGAGTAGATATCTACCTCGATTGCTCCAAACTTTATAAAAACCTGCATTTTGAACCAATCTTTCTAATACATGTCTCCAAAAGATCATTTAAAAATCTCACTAGCACTGGCTTACATCCTTTATTAAGTTTATATGGTTGCATTTGTTTGTTCAAAGCTGCTGGTTTTGCTTTCTCCTATAAGGTGCACTTCCCCAAACAAACAGGCTCGCTACGATTAACAAAAATCAAACAGATAGTGAACCATTCTTCACAGTTTTACCATCTTTCTTTGACTATGTCTTGTTTAGATATATCACCTAGAGATAAACAATAATGGTGCTATGGTGTGTCACTAAGTGATTATATTTGATCTGGGGCATTTGTGCCCACCACATCACTTACTAGAAGGGCCAAATAGCAGCAGCACCAGTGTCATTCTGTGCAGTACCTGCCAGATGAAACAGTTAATTCACCTGAGGAGTTCCAAGGGTTTGTCAAATACTCAGGCTACGCCAAGTGAGACAAGTTATGCCATTACAAATGCACGCTGCAGACCTGGCCTAGGCTGCACAATATCAAGGTCCAGGATTCTGTGCTTTACAGACAAGTAAACCATGCTACAAAAGTACTGAGTGATTTACACAACTCTGGATAGAACCCAAAAAATTGCATTCCAGCTATTATCCTTAAATATACTAATATTTATAAATTTTTTCAGTTCTGAAATATATAAAGAGGTTACTCAGTGTAGAACAGATGTTTGGTGTAAAACAAGCATTAGATAGAGGGAATCCTAACATACAGTGACGTGACACCATTAAGGAAGGGAAACAGGTAAAAGGATACAGCTGGCTAGGAAAGAAGCTTTACATTTCATCTGGTACTTAGACAAAAACTATCATTAAAAGATTTAACAAAAAATGGCTTTGTTTGGTCAATTGGCCCACAGCTTGTGCCTTATAAAATGTTCTAAAACAGACACTAGCATAAGAGCTGTAATAACTCTATAAGCATATAATCACATTGCACGTGTTGTATAGATCTTATTCTGTAATGGACAAACAGTTGAACCAGCTGTAGTGAAACTAATACAGTGTATACAATTTTACATGCCCCTTTTCATCACACTCATTCATTTTAGCTAAGCGTTGTCTCCAGTCCATACTCACTACACCAAAGAATTTCAGGCACTAAGACCTCTGGGTACCCATTCAGTAACTCCCACATCAAGTACCAGCCACAGTGTATTATAGGAGGTCGAGATCCCTTGTGTGCTATGGTCAACAAATCACAACAGTGGCTTGCTTAACTTTTTCAGCTTGCTAGCATCCTCAACATTCATTCCTTTTAAAAGGCAATCTATTTGTAGGTACTACTTAGATTCTTTAACAAAACGTTGTGCATAGTCAGTTTGCTTCTTTATAAATAAGGCCATTAGCACCATCCCATGTCTTTTAGTCTGACAACCTATTTTCCCCAATAAAGCTGAGCTTTTATAACATCGCTAAAATGCACATAAATGTCAGAGTTGGACTATGTATCTATGTATATTAATTCTTCCTGGACTACTGAAGTAATACCTATGCAAAGCGTACTGCAATAATTAAATATAGTACACAGAATTTTAAGTGACAAGACTCTTATTTGTGGTTTTGGGCTAAGATAAATAGATTCTCCTGCATATTAGTAACGGTCCTTTCCAGCAGACCAGAAAAAGCCACTAAACTCTGTCTTCCCACAGGGCTGTCACACACAGCAATGCTGTCAGTCAGAGAAGTCGGATAGGTCAAACCCTTTTTGGTTTTGCTAAAGTCACTGTGTAAACGCCGTGCCTTATTTTTCCTTCTTTTTAATATTATATGGTCAACATTTTTTTTTCCTCAGTTTTAAAAACATTATCAAGACTGAAACTATGTACATGCCTCAGCATAAGCACATAGTGGACTGAGGACAAAAGTAGTCTGCTGATTTCAGGACAACCACTGTGTAAACCAGGGTTGCACAATCAATCTCTTCATGCAAAAGCAACACGACTCTACGAAAGCGCAAGATCAGCGCCTTAAAGAGAAAAACCTAAAACCCCAGCTCCCCCACCAGCAACCAAGCCAGCATGACATTTTCCCACCTACATCGATGTGTGGAGAAAGGAGACAGGGTGGAAGGGGGAGGGGGAGGAAACATCTTGGCATGGGAGTCTTTCTCTGAAGAAAACGTAAATCAAATGGCAGAGTTTGGTCAAAAAGACTGCAAAAAACTTAAAGAGCACAAAAGTGAGATCAAGAAAACTTCAGATGAATGCCAAGCAGCACACTGACAGCATGAAGTACTGAAACTACACCAACTCACAACATTTAAAAACTGTACCTTAGAACCAAGACAAAATACAATACCTCAGGGAAAAAACAAGAGTGAAGTGACAAATAATGGTGGAAGAAATGTGAAAAATACTATAGTCATTCCCACGCCTACTAGAAAGCTGAAGCAGCAATAAAATTGTACAAGCAAATGCTCCAATGTTAAAATTCCCTAAAGGAAGTTATTCAGCACTAGTTTCTGCATTCTTCTCTCCTGAGGTTCAGTTCTGTGCACACACACAAAGAAACTTTGAATTAGTTGATCAGCACTTCAGAGACCAAGCCCCCACTGTGTTCTTACTATAGACCTGTGCTGAAGTAGTAAGCAAAATAGCAACTCCTAACATACAGAACACTACTACTGAAAGCATTAAGTCATCTGGGAACCCAGAGATATACAGAAGGCTTTTCTTGCACCAAACTTCCACAAACTAGAAACAAATATACAGGGAAAAGGATTTTTTTTTTATTGAACTATATTTCAACCTTACTGACATGTTTCCTTTTGTTTCACTCAAGAATGGCTGCTAAAATGTACATTTTCGGGTAGTTCATGGCCTGAAAAAGTACCTGATAACAAAAACAACTTAGAAGTCAATAAAATTGATGGTTTATTTCCATTTTTGTTCCATATAAACAATAATTTAGGACTTTAGGATATAAGACTCATTTTCACAGCTGACAAATTTAAAAAATGTAACTCTAACTATAAGCAGAAGGAAATATTTTCCCCTTATCACTACTTTTGTAATTAATGGCTTGGCACATAGATGAGAAGTTAACAAATTATTTTCATCACGTTCAGAGTACCTCTTGCAGTATCTGAAAACACGGGAATCATGGGTACTTGAACAAGTGCAAGTTTTAGGTAACACATATGATATCTAGAAGGTAGATGTGCTGCTTTACTGAGTTCTTAACAAAGTTTTCTTGAAAAAAAAACCTAAACGAAACACTGATGTGCACTTCACTCTGCAACACAGTCCTGCAGGCACAACACTAAGACTTAGAATTAAAGAAGCACTTAGAAAAGAAATTTTTGTATATTATTTCCGATTTTTAACAGGACAACCCCTGACACGAAAACCCCCAGCCTCCCTTCTCTGGAGTCATGCAGATCGCCATTTAACTCTTTTTGCTCTGTCTTTTTTCTTTTTTTGCCAACTAAGGAATGCACGTCCAGTGTGCCGCCTAGAAGTGGCCATTTACCCCAGGACACTACAGAGAGAGGCACAGCTTTACATTCGATGTCTCCTACTGCAAATAAACGCGCATTTCCTGCAGCGGAGAGTTCGAGGTAAACAAACAATACAGACTGAAGCCCTTTTCACAGAAACACGGAAACCACGGCGTTTCTTACTGGTCCGAATTTACACTTGACAGTTCTTCCCGTTTAGAAAAACGAGCATCTCTGACTGCCCTGACAGCTCTCGGGGAATGCCTGGCTCCTGTTCTGACAGCCCTGGAGTGCAGACCCCCCGGCTAAGCGCGCCCAGGGCTCGATGCCGCGGTACGAGCTGTATGGGTGGAAGGTCCGGCGCTTCCCGGCACATCGCGACATGGCGCGACTCTTCGCCTCTCGTCACCACAGGCGGGAGACCCGGGCGGCGGGCCCTCGTCACCGCCACCCTCTGCTCCTTCCTCCGCTCTCCCTCACCTCGACACCTCCCCGGCCATTCCGGGACGAGCGAAGGGACGGGGCACCGTGCGGGAGTTCTCCGCCACACACAGCGGCGAGGCGGCAGCACCGCTGCTGCCCGGCGTGGGAGGCCGGTCCCGGGGCCCGCTCCCCCGGCCCCACGCAGCGCCCGGCTCGCCCCCGCCGCAAGGAGCGCCTCCTGCTCAGGTGCCGTTCCGCGGGCACCGCGCCGCCGCTGCCGCCCCTCCCCGGGGGAAAGGCGCGGCCGCCCCGCGCTTCCCCCAGCCGGGCACCTGCTCCCGCGGGCCGGCCGGGGGTGTCAGCGCCGCCGCCCCGCTCCCGCCCCGCTCCCGCCGCCGCCACACGCACCCGGCACCCGCCGCCGCCGCCATCTTGGGCGCCCCGAACCGCCGCCACCGCCTCGGAGCGGCCCCTCGGCGACGTCAGCGCCGCGCGGGGCCGCCCCCGCCCGCCCCGGCCCCCGCCCGGGCCCCGCGGGGCTCCCAGCGAGCGCCTCCCGCCGCCCGGGGCGGGAGCGGAGCGTCCGGGGGCCCGCGGGGAAACACGCAAACGCCCCGCACTCACCCACCGCCCCCACCCCGGGGGCTGCCCCGGGCTGCCGCCCCGCACCCACCTGCCGATCGCCATGTGCCGGCGGCGGGTCTGTCACCAGATTTGTAGTGGAAACCGAAGTCCTTCCCACGTCCCCTCCCACCTCCCCCGGCCTCCCCCGCCCGCCAGGCCGGTCCCGCGGGGCCGGGCGGGGAGGGAGGGGGTCGCTGCCCGGACAGGGGTGCTGGGGCGGGCGGGCAACAGGACACGGTTCCCGAGGCACCGGGGGCTGCTGCTGCCCGGGCCCGCGGGACACCTGTTGGCTCTGGGGTGGGTCTGTACCCAGCCGGGAAGGGTGTTCACATCGTCCTTCCTATATTTCACTCGTGCTTTCTCGTCGTTGTCTCCGTCCTTGACGGTGCGAGCTCTGGGTGCGTGGGCTGAGCAAAGAGCCGCGCCCCAGGCCTCGCCCGGTGGCTCCCCCGGCTCGCCGGTGCCACCGCGAGCCACCTCTGGCCTGGCCGCTGCCTGGATGTGACACACCGACCCTACCGGGGGTCTCAGCCCGTGAAACTCCTTCACATCGTCTGTCTCTCTGCGTGTTGTTTGTGAAAACTTCTGCAAAGCAGCTCGCACGGAAAAACCCCCAAGCTCTTATCAAGCCTCTGTTACCCATCTTTTTCAGTCTCAGGTTTCATTACAGAACCTTAAATAGGCAAAAAACTTGTAAACCCATGTCCTGCGGATGTCCTATTTTGTAAATTTGAGGCATCTTTGCACCGGTCCTATTAGAACTAAAGTTTCTGAAGTACAGCCAGCTCTTTTTAGCTGCTTTCTAATTCTGCCAGCACTAAGTTGAATTAATTTACACTTGTGTGTGCCTGCTGCTCTACCTCGTGCACAGGTAGGCTGTGTTTGGGACAAGAGGAGTCTGGTTTAAACTCCTTCCTTACTGGGCACCATCACTTTTTACATCCATGCTGAAGTGGGTTGGCTTGTAATTTATGTGAACCTGCTCTGAAAGTCAGTGCACGGGCTACTGGTGATTGCAGAACGTGGTTGTGGTGCATGTGCTGCTGCTTAGTCACAATAAACAAGTAGTGGTTTGATGCAGCGTGAGCATTTCAGATCAGACCCTCTTGTTCTGGATCCATTATGCATCAGGATGTTTTCATGACGGCATCAAAATCTTGCACATCTGTTTCTATGTTTCTAATTGTGTCATCACAGAAAATGTGTTTCAGTTTAAAACTTGAAAACTGTAGGCCCCAGTTGCCTCAGTTCTCCTCCAGTAGTGCTTTCCTGTTCTCTCTGTTTCTAACAAGACTGCTGAGATGGCGTTAGCAGGATGTGGCCAAGAGACATGATTCCATTTTTCTGCAGGGTCACTTTACTATGGTGCTTTCAGAAGCTCATAAAAAGTGTATACAGGTAGAGTAAGCTCACCAGGATTCTTAGGACTCCAATGTGTTTCTAACTTGTGACTTTAAAGTGAGGAATATTGTTTCATAATAAAAATATTTATGAAAACTGTTCATGCACAGTGATTCCATGTATTTGCATATTCCTCTTAGGTGTTCTTAGGACAACATTAACCATTTTCAAATATCTATTTTGTCAAGTATTTCCATTTTTACTGTAGCAGTTTCTTCTTGAGTCATAGTTGGCAAACTCACCCTCCCATACCTTTTCTTGCTGGAATCTTTTACAGTATTCTCACACTCAGGGTCTCAATCCAATTCTGTGTGCATGCCTGTCTGTTGGTCAAGTCTTGGATCAAGACCAGACTGACTCACATCGCTGCTGTGACCTCTTCAGGTGTCTTTCCAGGCTGCTTTCACCAGAGCTCCTCAGCCTCTGGGAGTCTCTAGAGGGGGAGAGACAAAGCTCCTGATGCTTCCCTACACATTGGAGGTCTCATCCTTGTGGTCTGGGTGAATGAAGTATAGGTGAGACTCAGGGTATTACCATCCAGGGCACTGATAAATAATCCCAAATCCTGGTTTTCCTAAACGTTCAGGGCAGACTTTGATCCTGGGCTGCTCATCTCATAGGAAGGCTAAGGCCAGCAATGCAAATGGGAAATGATGGCTCTCAGCCATGCATATCCTTAACCCCACTCCAGAGCTGATTGCTCACCCAGACACAGCCTGAGGCCTTGTCACCAGCTCCTTTAATACCCTAAATGGCCACTTTTAGCAGCCATTCCCAAAGTGATTATGATGCTCAAAAAATCGGTTTTATTTATGCCAATTTTATATTCTCCTAGTCTCTAATTTCTCTAATGCACAGCAATACCCCTTTCTCTTTCATAAAATAGAGCCTATATTTCAAAACCCTGTTCTGGTGATAACAGAGGTTTGCCATGTCTCTGCTATCTCTGCAGTGTCTGATTTAACACCGAACAGATAGTCTTTTTTTTCTTATGCATATGTGGTTTCCCTGTGTCAAGGGACAACATTTCAGCTGATATTCACTATGCACCCTTCATACCCTTACTGGGTTAAGGTAGACTTGAATATCTGTTCCTGCCACATATTTAATCCGTTGCAAAATATTGATTTGAAGTTGGGATTTGGCTTTGGCGGAACAAGTAAATCACTGGATTGCTATGTGCTGCTCTTACAGTATTTGTCCTGCTTCACGTGTGCCTTTTGTGACATCCCGCTTAAATTTTTCACTTTCCTTTAACTTTTCTCATACTTATGCATTTATTCTTCTAAATAATGTCCACATTAAAAACATTCAAGGCTGGTAAGAGAATTCCTGAGCCTTAGGGACACGTAAGACCCTCTCTGCCATCCAGACATTACAGCTAGAATGTTGTATTTTATTGAGACAGCCAGAAATTGATTTCCCAAATGTAATTTAAAATTCATTGGATATTTATGAAAATGGATGAGGGATATAGAATATTTTGTCCAGAAGCAAGCAAATGTAATAAATCCCTATAATAAGCAATGTAGCCTCATATCTTCCTATTATGTATTCTCTGGAGGGGAAAACACCACCTCTAACTGAAACACCACCTCTGACTCAGTGTTAAAACCTTTCTAATATGGCAAATAGTTTTAATTTTTTGTTTTAAATGGTCATTGGAATCATATACATTGTCTGCATTAATACAACTGAAAACAATATTTACTTACTGCATTTGGCAGAAGGAGACATCACAAACTGTTATTCCAAGTGAGGCACCTAAACTTTGACAAATGCATGAAATTTCAAACTTCTGTCAAATATAAGCATAATTTTAAAATAGTAATAGTTTTTGATATTCAAGAATAAAGTGGTAGGCTAACCAAGCTTTCTAGTCTATCTGAAAAGACAAGTGATATGATACCAGGTGTCAGTGAAGACTGGATGCATAGGCATCTCAGTGTCTCCACTGAGTTTGGGTCTGGTTTTATGGTTTGAATGTTCAAAACTGGTGAAAAGGGGGAGAAAGAGAGAAAACCTTATGTAAGCTAAAGAAATGAAAGCAAGCTTTAAACAAATACAGAGCCATCTTTTGCTCTTGCCAATGTGAATGCTTTTACTTGTTAGCAGCACCCAGTTAGGAGTGATGCTCCTGATGTCATCCTGGCAGACCCACTGCTTTGATGTGAGGTCATGTTTGTCACTGCTCTAGTTTTAATCACTGCTTGCACCAGGAACTGTCCTGAGTTCAAGCTGCTCCTCTATGAAATGTCTCCTGAAGAGCCATCTGGCTTCCCCGAAGTGCAAGGCAATATTGGTGATCAGGAAATTTGTTCTTTTGCTGCTGTGACAGTATAGTTGTATCCTGTGTAGACATTGGCAGATGGACCTGACTATGTGGAGTTAATTGCACATCTGAGGCACAGAAAATAGATGACATGAGGGGAGTGATAATAAATCACAAATTTGCACATGCTAATATGAACAGCTTGATGGTTTCTAGTTCAGACCTAGATGAGAAGTAGAAAATTTTTTTTCTAAAACAGTGGGAGCATTTTAAAACAGCACTTAAGAAGGGAAATGTTGGAAAGCACATCTAAAAGCTCGATACAGATATGCACCAGTATTTGCATATTTGGGAAAGGTTTACATGCTTACCTTCATGTAACATCTGCACTGGGAGTTTGTTGTGTTTCCATGTTTATTGATACAAACAAAATACTTCAATTTATATATAAGCAGATTCAGGGCTCAAAGAGAAATTCTCTGTGCGAGATCCTGAAAATAACAGGATTTTCTCCAATGTCTATGAAGCTTTTGGGCTGCAGTTCAGTTCCGTATGAAGACTCATACATGTTAGTGTCTAGATATGAGCTAAGTGTTTTAATTCCCAGTAGAGTTGGTGGGGAGGGTACTTGTATGAGTTATACCTTAGGTACTTGTGGGATGTGAGATGTTCAGACAGGGCTGGGCAACCTGGCACACAACCTTCAGGACTGTAGTGCCCTTCTGGAGAAGCAACTGGAGACAAAGTGGACTCTGTGTAGCTTCTTAAATGGTGTTGGCTGCCAAGACAGCTGAATTGAGCACTGCAGCTCTCCTCAGGCTGATCTTAAGCAGATAGTTGATGGCCAGTTAAATGGATCTCCAGAATTCAATCTCCTTTGAATCCACTCACCAAGAGCTCAATCAATTCTGTGAACATCAAGTGCCATTGAGAGGCTGTGGGATATCCTTCTTGTTCTCTCCCTACCCTTCTGGAGAGGCGTCAGTTCCCATAGGTCCTGTGCCATATCTGCTAGCTCTGAGGAGGTGTCTCAGATACTTTAGGGGTTCTCACACTGCTTTAGATACCAACATCTAGGCAACTGAATTAAGCCTTGGATCTCCATGGGCTGTAAGAGGAATGCAGACGTGCTTAGTTGCCTGAATAAAGGCTCTAGAGATGGCTGTGGGCACCAAAGGCATGGTCAGAGGCTGACTGGCGTGATAGAGGATCTGAGAAAAATTAAATCTTCCTGGAGCTGGCTGTGGGGCTGGGCACCTCTCCCCAGCCCAGGTGCCTAGTGATGACAGATGCCTGACTTATCCTTAGGCAACTGAATCCTGCACTTGGCCTATGTAGGGACACTTGTGTTTAGTGGTGCTCTGAATCCCATCCCTACTCATTTTATTAAACTTAACTGGGTCCAAACACAGAAGATGTATTTTGCAAATATGCATTTTTCACAAATGAGGTGAAAGTTTGGGAGGAGTCCTGA